TATAATGTTGCATCTAGCATTATGCAAGAAAGTGAGGATCTTGAACCTCAGTCTGTTGGAGAATGTCGACAAAGACGTGATTGGCCAAAATGGCAAGAAGCAATCCAATCAGAGTTGAACTCACTTGCGAAACGTGAAGTTTTTGGGCCTGTAGTCCAAACACCTAATGGTGTTAAGCCTGTTGGCTATAAATGGGTCTTTGTACGCAAGAGAAATGAGAAAAACGAGGTACAAAGATATAAGGCACGCCTTGTTGCACAAGGATTTTCACAAAGGCCTGGTGTCGATTATGAAAAGACATATTCACCCGTAATGGATGCTATAACGTTCCGTTATCTCATTAGTTTTGCTGTCCATGAAAAGCTTGACATGCATTTAATGGATGTGGTTACCGCCTACCTTTATGGCTCACTTGATAATGAGATATACATGAAAATTCCCGATGGATTTAAAATGCCAAACGCACATAATTCAAAGTCCCGGGAAATGTTTTCAATCAAATTGCAAAGATCTTTGTATGGTCTAAAGCAATCAGGACGAATGTGGTATAATCGTCTTAGTGAGTATTTATTAAAGGAAGGATATCTAAATGATGCCATTTGCCCATGTGTTTTTATAAAGAAAACAACATCAGAATTTGTTGTACTTGCCGTATATGTTGATGACATAAACCTTATGGGAACTCCAATAGAACTCCAAAAGGCAATTGATTATTTAAAGAAGGAATTCGAGATGAAAGATCTCGGAAAGACAAAATTATGTCTTGGTTTGCAAATTGAACATTTGGCAAACGGAATATTTATCCATCAATCTACCTACATAGAAAAGGTATTGAAACGGTTTTACATGGATGGAGCACATCCATTAAGTACTCCGATGGTTGTTCGATCACTTGATGTGAATAAGGATCCATTCCGACCTCAAGAAAAGAATGAAGAGCTACTTGGTCCTGAAGTACCATATCTTAGTGCAATTGGTGCACTAATGTATCTTGCCAATACTACAAGGCCTGACATAACTTTTTCAGTTAATGTCTTAGCAAGATATAGCTCTGCTCCCACAAGGAGACATTGGAATGGAATCAAACACATATTGCGGTATCTAAAAGGGACTACCGATATGGGCTTATTTTATGGCAACAATTGCAGTCCCGATCTTGTTGGTTATGCTGATGCTGGGTATTTATCTGACCCACACAAGGCTCGGTCTCAAACAGGTTATGTATTTACCTGTGGAGGCACTGCCATATCTTGGCGATCGACTAAGCAATCAATTGTGGCTACTTCATCTAATCATGCTGAGATAATTGCTATTCATGAAGCAAGTCGAGAATGTGTGTGGTTGAGGTCTATAATACATCTTATTCGAGACAAATGTGGTGTGAAATGTGACAAACTACCCACAATTTTGTATGAAGATAATGCAGTATGCATAGCTCAATTGAAGGGAGGATTCATAAAAGGAGATAGGACAAAGCACATTTCACCAAAGTTATTTTTCACACACGATCTTCAAAAGAATGGTGATATTAATGTGCAACAGATTCGTTCAAGTGATAATATGGCTGATTTGTTCATAAAATCTCTACCAACGTCAACCTTCAAGAAGCTAGTGTACAAGATCGGGATGCGAAGCCTCAAGGATGTGAATTGATGCTCTCATCAGGGAGAGTTAATGCGCGTTGCACTCTTTTTCCCTTACAAGGTTTTGTCCCACTGGGTTTTCCTTGCAAGGTTTTTAACGAGGCAACCAATAGGCGCATTTCTAAACATGTGTACTCTTTTTCCTTTTCTAGAATTTTTTCCTATTGGGTTTTCTTTTAGTTAAGGTTTTTAACGAGACACATTATCTGTTGAATAGACATTCAAGGGGGAGTGTTATAAATAGAATTTTATTTATGGTGAATGTCTATATTTAGAGAGATTCTAGGGTTTATTACTTGGTGGCTAAGTCACCCTCTCCCTATAAATAGAGGGTTCTATTCCATTGTAATTCATCCCAAATTCAATAAAAATTTTCCCTCTCTCTTTCTCTGCAATATTGTTCTTCTTCTTTTATTATTTTATAACACAAAGAAAATTATAAAAGTAAGAAGAAAGAAAAGCGATATAAGACCCGTTTCCATTGTTCTACCTATCTTCATTATAGAAATAAAGAAACTTTAGAAATTAAGGGAGAAATTTTATACTTCCCGTCGAGTTGAATTAGCAATTCCTTTCACATAAGATTGTTAATTACTGAGTTTTAAATTAATATTTTGTATATGTTCAACAAATCTTTTAAGACAAATACAGATCTAAACCAAAGTTATTGAGTTCAACCGAACTTTTAGCGTTAATACTAACTCTGCCCTTGTATGAAAAAATGATAGATATTATATAACTAAAAAGAATATAATAAAATCTAAATAGAGTTTGAACATTCCACGACAAAAGTAAGTGTACGAATATAGATTTTCCAATATGTAGCCATCATTTTACTTGTTGTCTAGATTAGTTTTAACAAATATAAAGTTTAAACCATTGGTTGTGGTGGATTTATTTTCTTTGGAGTGCTCTTTAGACCTTTATGGAAAGATGATTTTTATCCTCTAATCTTAATGATTCCCTTCAAGAAATTAAAAGGGTAAAATCTTATCCTTCTATTGGAAAAGGAAAGAAAGAAAATTGATATTTTTAATTCTAAAATATCTAATTATTTTTACTCGTACATGATATTTATATTAAGTTAATGAATTCAAGATAAATGTACTCGCTCTAGTAGTGTGTTTGTCATATAAATATTTGTCACTTTAATCACAGTTAACTACGTGTATCCAGTATGGTGACCGACCGATATCGGTCTGGCTATAAATTTTAACTGATAATATTAAATTATTTAATTTGATATAAATATCGCCCTATACGAGAGAGAAGAGAAGATCATATTCTTTCCCTTTCCCTATTTATTTATTTCGTGAACCAAACTAAGCGAAGATATACTCTTCTTTTACTTTATTTGGTTCACTCATTAATATAAAAACTTGTTTTATTAAAAGTTATTATTCCTCTTTTCCTACAATCCAGAGTTAGCGAAAATTATTTTAATCTTTTAATTTCTTAGGATTATACTTTTAAATTGCGTAAAGTGGTGGTCTACATTTTTTCCATGATTTGACTATGCAAAAGAAGGGAATCCAATTTAGCCATGTCTTTTCATTTTCTTTAATCTCATTTGCCTATTTTGGGAAAATATTTCTTTTTCATTAGTTGGTATATTTCTCAATCGTTTGAATGAAAATGCTTGGTCCCATGCAGAAAACCCACTCAATTCCCCATCCCACATGAAAAAAAGGGAGAACATTTATAGGAAAAAAACAACAAAATAAGGAATTTCATTGGCATAGATCTTTGATATTATTAGATTATTGGTGGCTATTTGAGTTTTGACTATTAGAAAAAGTTGAACTGAAGAAAAGATAGATTTGTGGCAGCCTAATTAGTGGACAAGTCATAAGAATGACCTTGGAGTGCTTTTTGATTAATTTTCTTCTAATAAAAATCGAATCAATTTTGTTAGAGTTTTAAGTTATAGTAAACGATTTTTATAGATTAAAGTTATTTATAAGGTAAATAAGAGCATACATTAAGCTTCCGTTATGTGCGGAATCTAGAAAAGGATCGTATCACATGAGGTCTATGCTCAGGGGCGGATGCATGTTATAGGGTATGGGTGCTTAAGCACCTATTACTTTTGGAGCCATACACTATTATTTATATAGAAAAATTAGTAATTCATACAAATATATTACTTGAGCACCCATTCTCAAATGTAATTTTCAGATAAAAAATAGTTAAGCACCCACGATTTAGAAATCCTAGATCCGCCACTGCCTATGCTATACAACCTTCAGGGGCGGAGCTAGAGTACCGGAAGCGAATTTGGCCGAACCCAGTAACTTTGATTCAAACCTTTATTTGTCTTTAAAAATCTATCGAATATATACAAATTATTAATTAGAACCCAATAACTTAAAATGATTACAATCCTGAACCCATAAGATTGATTCCTAGCTTCGCCTCTGAATCTTACCTTGTACTTCTGCCGGAGACTGTTTTCACAATTTATATGTTTCTAACAAAGATAGTAAGGGATTCTACTTTACATTTTCATCAAAATTTTCTACGTATCTAAAACCAAACCTATTTGGTGTTTTAATTTAAAAAAATTGGCGTCAAAATGGTAGCAACTCAATTATTATTGAAACCAAACTTTGAAAGAGCCCATGTGATGCGCTAAAAGCGCCAAAATTTCACGGTATAGCCAATTTTCGGATTGGTCAATCAAAAATAGTCAGCGTTTACCAAGTCAATGAAAAATAGCCACCGTTTTGCTGCAATAGAGACCGGTCCAGCATAATATACTGGAGTTCGGTGCACTTGTGTATGAACTCCAGCATATTATGCTGGACCAGTATACTTTGCTGGCTCCAGTATAATATACTGGAGACTGGAGCACTGGTGCTCCAAACTCCAGTATATTATACTGGACCATTATACTTGCTGGAACTCCAGTATAATATGCTGGAGTTCAAGTATACTTATGCTGGAACTCCAGCATAATATACTGGAGTATTTTCCGGGTTATGAACAGTGTTTTCGCTCAGATTTATCTTTACATAAAAAGTGGCTAAATTTCGATTACTTTTGAAATTGGGCTATTTTTGAACGACCAGTTGTAAATCTGGCTATTTTTAAAAATCACCCGCTAAAAGCTGATTAACTTTTAATTGAAACATTAAAATGTAATGGGCTAAATATGGATTAACTTAACAAGCCTATTCGTCTATGGGCCATGATTATTTGAATTATGAGTTTAGTTGAGGAATTAGAGTTTGGTACTTTGATGCAAAATATATGAACTCGATCCAAATTTTGGTGCAAATCTATGGTTTTTTACCATAAAAAAAATATGCATATTGATGTTTCCCTATATCGTTAAGATGTTTGATTCTTTTTTTTTTTTTAAATTAAAAAATTATAGCGATAGTACTTCGTTTAATAAAACCTAACAAATTGGTGCATAGTACGTTTTACTCCCTTTGCGCCAACACCTAAAACCCTAAACCCTTTTACCCCAATTTCCGACGAACCTTCGACGACGGCGGAGCACCACCATTAACTTCCCTGTTTCTCCATCCAATTTATTTTCCCTCTATACGTATTTAAATATTTATTAGTATTTACAAAGCTTCAGAGAAAATTTTCAAGTGAGAAAATGGTGGTGAAAGTGGAGAACATAACTCCAAGGAAAAGTAAGACTGCTACTGATGAGGTGAGTTTTTAAATTAATTTTTCAAATTTCCATACAAAATGGTACAAAGGGTAGCTAAAAGAGTTGCTATTTTGAATCATGAATTGAGAAAAATTTGATCTTGGTCACTCACTATTAGAAATTTTGCATATTATGTATCAATTAGATGTACTGAATAAGAAGAAAGTTAATTTATTAGCTACACAAGTTGAGCTTAAATGGAGAAGTGAGGATTCATATAGTCAATCCCAACTTTTCTGGGACTGAGCGCAGGGGCGGAGGTAGAAGCTCGTTAAGGGTTTGGCCGAATCCAATAGCTTTTGCTCGAACAGTGTATTTGTGTTAAGAAATACGTTAATTATGTACAAGTATCATAAATTAGAACTCAATTATTAGCATTTGAAGTCGTCGTTCTAAAATTCAGAACCCTGAAAGTTGAAATGTTGGCTCCGCCTCTGGACTGAGGCATAGTTGTTGCTGTGACTGATTATTAGCTGGTATAATTCTTATTTTAGTGATCCTGTTGAGGTGAGTTTTTATATTACTTTTGATGGCGCAGAGGGTAGCTGAAAAGTTGCTTTTTGGAATCAAGAATTGAGAAAGTTTGGCCACTCACTATTAGAAATTCTGCATCTTTATGTATAGTATTTCACAACCAAAAAAAGTTGTTACTTTTTGAATTTACAGATGAAATGGGGTAAAGGGTAGCTGAAAATAGTTTGTTTTTGAAAAAAGGAGTGATAAAAATTTGTTCTACAGTTAGAAATTTTGCATCTTTACGTATCAATTAGATGTATTGAAGAAAGTTATTTTTGTGCGAATGTGACTGATTGTTAGCTGGTGCTTTTCTTATTTAAGCGGGTTGATGTGTAATTTTGTATTTTTGCTTGCATTCCACACACTTGAGATACTTCATTCCCTGTATTTTATTTTTGGATTTTCTTTATCCGATTTGAATGTTATAAGTGATGGAATGAGTTTCCTCATTAGAATTACTGTGTGGTTTTGTGTGAAAATAATCAGCTTTTAGCAAATAATGAACTTTTGTTTGAACTGATTAATTTTCAAATTATCTAAAAATAGTAATCAGAATCAATTTCAGAATCTAAAGAAACAGGCCAATTTTGAAGTTTCTGTTACTTACTGGCATTCATGTTTGGCCACTATCCTATACTCTTTAAATTTTGGTTGAGTTAGGTTAAACTACAGGATCTGTATGGCAATCATGATTATTATCAACACCAAGTAGGATTGTTTGCTTTATGCCTATATTGAGAAGAGGAATCTTGTTGTGTGTTTACTGTTAACTATTTTTATGGGCTTTGCTTCCTTTACAATAATATTAGATCTTAGTGTTAGAAACTTAAGCTATGACATGTTGAAACTTTAGAATATCCAGACATGTTTAACCTAGTGAAAAGAGAAGGTGGGGCGGGGCAGGCTGGGGAGGGGTATTATTCTGTCCCGAAAAAATGGAATGCGTGTTTTCTGTGCGTTTGGAACCAAATAGTCATAGGATAAAAAGGATTAAAATTGATTATTAGACACAATATTTCTTGATTAGAAGTACCAAACATCACTATGAATAAAAAGATTTAGAACTTGATCAATTGCTCTCTTATTCTTACTCTACTGCCTTGTGATTCTTTTCGTTATCTTGATTGGCAGGTTATTTCTGAAGAGATGGATATGAAAGTAAAGAAATACCTTAGAGGTGAAGGAGCAAATTTGGAGGTACTGAAGTTTGTTAAGACGTCTAAACTTGCTTTTCTCTTAACTTTGATTCTGGTTAGGTTTTCTGTTCCTTGATAATCATATGGTAAAGAGCTGTTTTTAATTAATTTGCAGGCTTTGAAGGATAAAAAATTAAAGGGTCAGCTTGCTGTGAAAGAAGAGTTGTATGGAAAATCTGCAACAGCTGCTGCGAAGGCTGAGAAGGTGTCTAGCCTGTGTTTAGATATTTTAGCTTAAATTTCTAGGCATCTACAGTATTTTTTTTTCCATTAAGCTCAGCTGCAGAAAACCTAGGTTAAATTGCATGTATCAAGTTGTCTCTGTTAACCTCTCGAAGTTGCTTTTGTCGATTGCATACCCTTTTATGCCAGCGATCAAGATTTGCTTAAATCTCTGACTGTTCTGCTTTTGTCAGTGGCTTATGCCAAGTGAGGGTGGCTATCTAGAGGTTGATGATGAAGGTATTGAGAAGACCTGGAGAATAAAGCAAGAGGCAATTGCCCGTGAAGTTGACATTTTGAGCTCTAGGAAACAATATGATATCGTCTTACCAGGTTAAGCTTTTGGAAGATTTTGCTTATGTATAAATACTGAAAAAAAGCTGCAGAGTTGTTGGTCTTTGTTTCTTTTTCATTTTGATTTGGGCATGTCCGACATGTTATCCATTTAACCTGCAAGCAAAATAGTGGAAAGTAGTGTGATTCTTCCCTAGCAATTGTAACTGGATTTAGTCATTACTCATCCGTTCAATTTGATTTTGCTCGGATAATTTTTTGAATTTTAGTAAAAGCCTCAGTAATGAAAGCTGTGAAGATGAAAACCTTTGTTATTTTGCTTTATCAGAGAATTTCAAAAATAATTATGAAATGTTTCTGAAGCATTTAGCTTCCGCAGATTATGGTTAAAGTTAGTTTCACATAAGTTGTTGACTTGTATTTTGCAGATTTTGGTCCTTACACGCTTGAATTCACCCCTAGCGGTCGCTACATGGCTGCAGCTGGATGCAAAGGTCACCTTGCTATTGTAGATATGAAAAGCATGAAACTCGTTAAAGAACTGCAGGTACTTATTGCTGTTTGATCTGTTCCCATTAAAGATTATATAAACCAAGCATATAGATGTATTGTTATAGTTCGTAAGGTGTCAAATTACTTGGAGGGTTTTCAAGGCTGCCGTCGGCTGTCACACATAATAATCCGTTTAGTATGGAGTAATCTTAGCTTGAAGAATTAGACAACTTGGTATCATTAATTGTATTATCACATACATCACTTAGCTTATCAAATGAATAAGTGCCAGCATCATTTTATTTTATTACACGATGTTGTTGAAATAAAGTCTTGTACTACATTTGCATTAAGGAGTTCCTCACCACTTTTTGAGGCTCAGGTGTACTTATAGCTTCTGCTTCTATTCCAGGTCAGGGAAACGGTGCGTGATGTAGTATTCTTGCATAATGAACAATTTTTTGCTGCTGCTCAAAAGAAGTAAGACTCATTTTATGTCCAAATTTTACGCTCTTCTTAAAAGTTCACATAGATCTCAGAATTGGTTTGGACTTTATATGAAAAGGATGACTTTTGGATGAACTTGTTCTAGCATTTTCTTCTCTTTCTGTCAACTTCAATTTTACTGCTGGATCCTATGTGAAGCTCAATACTTTCATCAGCAATTTTGTGCATGTTCTTTTAATTATATTCCACATCCCACCAATCACCATTCTTTCATTCCCATGTCCACCACAAATTTGGCAGATTTCGTTTCTAAATTTTAAAAATCTGGCATGTCACAGGTACCCGTATATATACAATAGAGATGGCACAGAGCTCCACTGCCTGAAGGTTAGTTTGACCCGTTTAATCTTTTATAATTGACTGCCCCAGAAAATAAATATTTCTGGATTCCATGTGGTCGATTGCTATATTAGGATGTTATTGTTGAAACAAATGCATGCTAATCTGTTTTGCATTTCCCGATTCGTAGGTTTTAGCCAATTATTAAGTAAAAATGGTGCTCGCTTATGCTCTTTCCTTAAAACTCCAGGAACATGGTGCTGTGCTAAAGCTTCAGTTCTTAAGCAATCACTTCCTTTTGGCTTCTATAAACAAATTTGGTCAGCTCCATTATCAGGATGTTACTACTGGACAGATGGTAGGTAATCTTCGAACTGGCCTGGGCCGTACTGATGTGATGCAGGTGAATCCCTTCAACGGTGTGGTTGCTGTTGGCCATTCTGGTGGAACAGTCAGCATGTGGAAGCCTACAAGCGCTGCTCCCCTAGTGAAAATGCTCTGTCATCCGGGCCCAGTCACTGCTCTTGCATTCCATACTAATGGCCATCTTATGGCAACTGCTGGTATGGAGAGGAAAATAAAGATTTGGGATTTGAGGAAGTTTGAAGTTCTCCAAACTTTACCAGGACATTGCAAAGCCTTGGATTTTAGTCAAAAAGGTTTACTTGCTGCTGCAACAGGATCTTTCGTACAAGTTTTTGGAGATCTTTCTGGATCTCAGAATTATAGCCGATATATGAATCATTCTATTGCGAAAGGATACCAAGTAAAGAAGGTGGCGTTCAGACCATATGAAGACGTTCTAGGCATAGGGCATTCTATGGGTTGGTCTTCTATCTTAATTCCAGGATCCGGAGAACCCAACTTCGATTCTTGGGTGGCAAATCCATTCGAAACATCTAAACAAAGGAGAGAGAAGGAAGTCCGATCTCTTCTTGACAAGCTCCCTCCAGAGACTATCATGTTAGATCCTACAAAGATTGGTACAGTGAGGTCAACGAGAAAGAAGGAACAGCCAACAAAGGAGGATAGAGAAGCTGAAATGGAAGCTGCTATTGAGGAAGCTAAAAGTATGCCTATGAAGAAGAAAACAAAAGGTAGAAGCAAGCCGAGTAAGATTGCAAAGAAGAAGCAAGAAGCTGTCGAGAAAGCTAAGAAACCGTTCCTGGAGCAACAAATGAATGAATTCTCCAAGAAAAGGAAACTCACTGAGGAAACTCAGCTTCCAAAATCTTTAGAGCGTTTCGTTAGGAAGAAGGCAGTAGCATGATCAATTATGTCTACTGGACTTTTCTTTCTTGCCTTTAACTTGCATTTGCATTTCATTCTTTTTGTTTTCTCTCCCTATTCACTTCCCTTGAGGGAAATGGTTATAGGAATTGAAGAGGCAAGTGTTGTAATTCTTCAGATCAAGTTTATCCCTTTTTCTCGCTGTTTACATTGTTTAATTGTTAGGTTAAAAATGTAGGCATTCTTGTTTTAACATGGGGTTTCCAGCTTGAAATTACAGGCCAATGTAAAATCTACAAACTAGGCCATGTATGAATTAATTTATCATAGCCTTGACTACTTTCCTGCTATGTATAGGCATTCATAACTTTTGGTCTACTTTTCCCCCTCTGTTTCTCATTCATTTTGAACTTGCACTGATATGTATAGAGGCTAGCACACAAGTTGTATTCAGTAAATATTCTTCAGTCGAAGTTATCTGCAATTTCTGTCACTTTACTACTGCCTAGTGGTGGCAAAATGGTTAAATGAAAATATTATCCATTAAAAAATGGGTCGGATAATGAACTTAAGAACGGATCAAATACGGATAAGAATCATATTATCCACTTAGAAAATGGGTAATCAATGAATAACTAATGGGTTTAACTTTTACATTTGTAAAGCCTTAAATTGGGGGTTCCTTAAATTTGGGAGACTAGGAATTTTTTCAAAAGTGATCATATTCAAGAAGCCGTGGATAATATGGATATCAATATTGTCCGCTGGTTAACCCATTTTTTTATTCGTACTAAATATGGGTCGGGTCGAACAATTTATCTGTTTTTTGCATTATCCCGTTTTCGACTCGCCCATATCCGACCTGATCCGCCCGGTTGCCACCCAACCAACTACTGCTAGCAGCCAGGATCAACCTGTTGGTTAAGAAGAAAACAGATGAAAGGACCAAAGGTTGAATAGGACATTGTCAAGACTTGCATCTCATATATAGATATGCCTAGCATAAATTTAAGAAAACAGGAAAGTAGACATAATGAAGGGCTTCCTGGCTGTTACAGCTTTGGAATTAAATGAGGGATCACAATCCCATTCTTAATCCTCTCAGCCTACTTAATAATTAGATTAATAAATGATTTAAGGGGTTATTTGGTTGGAAATGTTATGAAACAATAAAAGAAAAGAAGAGAATTGCAGAGCAAAGTAGAGAGAGAGGGAATTCTTATTGATATGTGATGAATTACAATAGAATAGAACCCTCTATTTATAGGGAGAGGGTGACTTAGCCACCAAGTAATAAACCCTAGAATCTCTCTAAATATAGACATTCACCATAAATAGAACTCTATTTATAACACTCCCCTTTGAATGTCTATTCAACAGATAATGTGCCTCGTTAAAACCTTAACTAAAATAAAACCCAGTGGGAAAAAAATTCTAGAGAAGGAAAAAGAGTACACATATCTAACAATACGCCTTTTGGTTGCCTCGTTAAAAACCTTGCAAGGAAAACCTAGTGGGACAAAACCTTGTAAGGAAAAAAGAGTACAACGCATATTAACTCCCCCTCATGAGAGCATCACTTCACATCCTTAAGCATTTGCATTCCAATCTTGTGCACCATCTTCAAAAGATCTTTGGTAGAGATTTGATGAACAAATAAGCTATATTAACTTGAATGAATATATTGCACCTTGAAATCATCATTCTTGATAGAGATGGATTGTCTTCATATGATCTTGTTGAAATCACCATTTCAATATCTTCACATAGAGGTGAAAGCTCTTGCTATCATATTATCATGCTTATAGTTATAGCAAGATACATATGCACAAATTGCATTTAGGATGTAGTACTTCATGACCATGAATTCTATATGCTTTAAGCAATTTAAATGCTTCAAGGATTTTTAAGTCATATAAGCCATATAATAGACTTTAGATGCATATCAAGTTTTCATGTCATGCTAGACATATAAGATATCGAAAACTGATTGCACATACCATTGACTTATACTTTCAAGTGTTTGAACTACATGTTCAAAACTACATGACTTTCATATGAAACCAATTCTATTTGAATTGTTTCTTCAGACTTAAGATCCTCACATATATATTTAGCGCTATCATAGATGTCGTCGACAAACATTTTATATCAGTTTCAACCTCCTTATTTTTCATAAAGACATAACATAGAGATCTCTTCATTCATATTTTCAGGTACCTGAATCTCTCCTGAGATTTTATGAAGTGTTATGTCATGTGATCTTCTAGATCACTTGCCTCCTTTATTATGATCATTTTGATCATTTGCTCATCTTCTTTATTAAGAAGTTTATTTGAAACCGATCTGTCTATACGCTTTAAGCGTACCATAGACTTTGTCCTTCTAGGACTTATTATAATATGAGCATTTGCAGTGAGAATATAGTTACTTTCTTTGGGTCAGCAAATGCGTCTGGCATGCTTTGCAATATATTGCAGATGAATTATCTTTTATGAACTTCAAGTTCATATTATTTTATTCGAGGATCTAGATGTATAAATGATAATTCATTCCATGTAACTTTTTCTCAACTGTTGTATCTTGTTGTTTCCTCAACTTTGAGAACCCATCTTTGTGCGTTATGGTGTTAATCAAAATATACACCGCACATCAATAATAATAAGATGGAATTATTTGGTTCCTGACCCTGAACCACTTGTGAGGGGAGAATGTAATATACTTTCGTATATCACGTATATCAAACATGATATATAAACTTTGTTCTCATAAGCAATTGTTTAGCTATTAGTGTGGGCACTTATATAAATCAATTTTGGTAAACCAGTGATCTAAACCAACATCAAGATGAACTTCTTGAAATAGAAAATCTTGGAAATTATGCTCGAAATTAAATTATTGAGCAAGTTACCTCGCAAACACCATGTTGCGGTAATAATAATCAACTGACATTGTAACGCATATCTATAGAGTCAAGCTTTATGGTGGTATACATGGCAGGTGAATGGGCCCATATTCACCTTTGATATTTCCAGCATTCATGGGATTCAATCCCAATTTTAATTGGTCTATTAATTAATGAGAACAAGCAATGTAAGAGAATTCGTAAAGAACTTTCTAGTTCTTTAATATTTACCCATGTGAATTCTCTTTTATTTTTGCACATCATACTTGAATTAACATGGCTAAACCAATTATGCCAACTGGATAAATTATCAATATTGATAAACTTTAGGTTTACACCATGATGTGTGCAATTATGAATAAACTCCAAGTTTATTATGATATGGGTTTTTATATCAATAATATCCACTTCATTGTGGTATTCTTTTGTTTATGTAGTACAAATTGGAGAATAAAGCGGGTAGCTTTTCACATACATATTACCCCGCTACAAGTTGTAGTAATAGAGATATTAAATCTTTCCTTTATTTATAGTCTCAATATAATCAACCGCTTTCGCGTATACTTTGGAAACTAAATAAGTTTCTTTGAGACTTACTACAACAGAATACCTTATTGGTAATCAATTGTGTTTCTCCAAAATAGTATAATTGGCTCTTGCAGAGTTCTCAATTAATTTTGTAGTACCACATATTCATCAACATCCATATGGTGAATATCTCTTTTAAGGAGAAAGTTATACCATTATGGTCATGGTCAAAATTATACGCAAGATATGTTTCTTGCATTATTGTTGTCTTTTAACAATCACAATGCCAAAATATTTTGGCGTACAATAGGTACGTGACCAATGCCCATTCATGCCATAATAATGACATTATTTTCTTATATCATCTCAAACCTCCTTTTAGAGGTGAGTGCGGTATATTCACTACCACTAGCACGTTCATATTCTTTGAAGAATGAATATGTATTCATAAATTAGATGTTGTCACATTCACATCATGAATGGACCATAATCATCTATATGTGCTTTACAAAATCTCATGTCAAATCGATGACAAATATTTTTCACAGAGTGAAAGATTATTTTGAGAATCCTTGTTGTTCTCATTATCACAATGATGACGATTATAATTCCGTCTATTGCCACGTCCACATCCATTGATACATTCATAGTAATAATTTTGTCTTCTTTCAGACTTATCACATACTGCTATCACATTCTCTTAAGGGAATGGGAATGGAGCAAATTCAATGGGACGGGTTTTCAATTCTTTGCCCACAATCATACATGAATTTGATCATGGCGAGGCATAGAAATTTTACCACTTCAGGTGGTTATAATTTCTTACAAACTCCATTAGAGTTATAATCAAACTTTGTTGTCTTTGCTTGTATTTAAAATCAAAGTATAGAATAAAAGAGAAAAATACGGTAAAATACTTACCTTAAATCCAGAATTTAATCATGAAGGAAGTTTATGGAACAATTGACAATCATTATGCTCCATCCCAAAGCTTCTACTCAATTAGTTAGAGTCTCGTGCTGATAACGTGTTATGAAACAATAAAAGAAAAGAAGAGAATTGCAGAGCAAAGTAGAGAGAGAGGGAATTCTTATTGATATGTGATGAATTACAATAAAATGGAACCCTCTATTTATAGGGAGAGGGTGACTTAGCCACCAAGTAATAAACCCTAGAATCTCTCTAAATATAGACATTCACCATAAATAGAACTCTATTTATAACAGGAAAGAAGTTATCCCGGGATTAGTTATTCCACTTTTTCATGGGGATAAAAAAATACTACAATCCCGGAATAACTAATCCTGGGATTAATTATACCGCAATTTTCTACCAACCAAACATGAGATAAATGTTAGGACTTTGCCCTGAATTTCTAATCTATTAGGACTCTCTTTCTTGAAGGAATGGAAAAAGACTTCTAAAAGGATTAAATCTCCTTAATATGTCTTATCCTTTTCTTGGAAGACAAGTTTTGCACATCTATAAATTAAGGATCTCTACTTCTCACAAGAGCACAAAAAAAAAAAAAATCCACAATGTATTCATTAAAGAATTTTGTTTAGGGGAAGATTTTTCTCTCGATAGTTTTTCTTCTTTTATATTAGTTTTATCATATGTAGATCAATTGACCAAACCATTATAAACTTTATGCTTAGTTTAGTATATTTTTCTTTTGTCGTCTGATTTATCGTCCACCAAGCTTTGTATTGTTAGTTTCCGCATGCACCATGTTATTTCGATCCCAACAATAAACTCTTCTTAAATTTAATCCCGGGATTAATTATTCGTTATCCCTCATGCCAAACGAGCCCTAAGTGAAATAATTTGATTTTCTTGTTTCTGGTCTAGTGCAAAGTGGACTGGATTGTATTTGTGTGGTCATTTGGTCACAGACCAAATGCCAATCCATCAACTTTATTAAAGAAAATGACAAAAGGGATTGTTGTCCCCCAATTTAGAAAATGACAATAGGGATTGTTGTCCCCCCAGCAAACTGCAACAACCATTACTCATACAATACACCAACCAACCAATTTTAGGCTCTCAAACTCAGAGAAGAAGAATGGCTTATTCTGCTCTTTCTTCACTTATGCATAGCAATTCCTGCAGACTAACCAACGGTTAGTTTGTGGAAGCTGTATACCACAACAACATGTTGAATCCACTTATCAAAGTCTTTTTGCTCTTCAAGTTTTCCTTGAGGAGGCTACAGAGGAAGCCAAAGATAATGAAACTCTAAAGAGTTTGGAAAAGAGGTTGAGAGATGTAGTCTACAAACTAGAATATAGAGTTGATTCAAGACTAAGAAGTGTCATTGTAGCAGATAGCGGAGATGGCCAAGAAAGGGCTTGTGAAAAAGATGTTGATTCTCTCAAGAAAGAGGTGATGCAGATCGAGTTTAACAAGCACGGAAGCAAATTAGCAACAACTTCTTCCTCATCAAGAAGGTATGCAATTGAGCAAAATACTGTTGTTGGAATGGAGGATGACTTCAACGCCATACTAGATCGCCTCACTGCACAAACACATGAGCTAACTGTCATACCAGTTGTAGTTATGGGCGGTATAGGTAAGACAACTCTTGCTAGAAAAGCTTATGATGATTCATCTATTCGATATCGATTTGATACACATGTATGGGTCACAATCTCAGAGAAGTACAATGAGAGACAAGTGCTACTAGATGTTGTTATGTCAATAAGTCGGGATATAAGTGATGAAAGCTATGAAATAATGAGCATAGATCAACTAGCAGAGATTGTGTATAAAGGTCTAAAGGGTAGGAGATTTCTAATTATCATAGATGATCTTTGGAGTACTGAGGTATGGGACCAAATGCAAAGACTATTTCCAAATGATAACAACAAAAGCAGAATCCTATTAACAACTCGCCTTAACTATGTTGCTGATTATGCAAGCCCTGATTTCCCCCCTCATAGAATGTCTTTTCTAAGTTTAGACGATAGCTGGAATCTGTTTACTGAAATGCTATTCAAAAAAGATCTTTGTCCTCCACAACTACAAAAAATAGGGAAGCATATCATACAACAATGTCGAGGATTACCTCTATCGATTGTTGTCATTGCTGGACTTGTTGGCAAGATGGACCCGACACATGATAATTGGAAGAAAATTGAGGAAAATTTGAACTCATTCTTTGGTACGGTTTCTGAACAGTGTCAATCAATTCTTTCATTGAGCTACAGTTACTTGCCCCAATATTTGAAGGCTTGTTTTCTCTATGTTGGAGGTTTTCCTGAAGATATGGAGATTAATGTTTCCAAGCTGATTAGGCTATGGATTTCTGAGCAGTTTATAAAAGCAAGAAGCTATAAGAGGTTAGAGGTGGTGGCAGAGGAGTATCTACAAGACTTGATTGATAGAAGTCTAATTTTGGCCGGTAAACGAAGGGCTAATGGAAGGATGAGAACTTGTAAAATTCACGATCTTCTTCGTCAGCTGTGCATAATAGAAGCTCACAATGAAAATGTTGTGCATGCCATGAATGCAAATGTCCCCATGTTCTCAGAAGCCATAAATGATCAACGACGAGTAATTGTTCCATTTGATATTAAAGAGAAGCATGTTTACCCTACAAGGCATAGCAGTGTCATTACAAGTATGATCCGGACCTTTATTTTTACGAAATATTCTGATTTAGATTTTATAGAACGTTTTTGTTCCATAGTTTCAACGTTCAAGCTGCTTAAGGTGTTGGACGTATATAATGTCCGTTGCGATTTCTCAAGTGTAATACCTAAACTTATACATTTGAGATATGTTGCTGCAAACATTGACAAAGCTCCTTCACTTGCCAAATTGTGGAATCTACAAACCATAATTCTTCGTAATTTTGCAAGCAAAGACTTGCATCTCCCACAAGAGATCTGGACAATGTCAGAGATAAGACATCTTGATATTAGATGGTCAATACATATGCCTAATCCTCTTGCGGCAGAAAGTCATAGTGTTGGAGAACAACCTTTGTTTCTCAATAACTTGCAAACACTTGTTCTCTGTTCCTCTCCTTATTTGGCAGAAATCCTAAGAAGAACTCCCTATCTAAATAAGCTGACGATTTTAGATGAATCTCGACATCCTAACTATCCTGCTATTCTTGATCCTCTCAGTCTTCTACAGGAGCTGGAGACACTAACTATAGAAGCAGATTTAGGCAGTGACCTGATGATTCTCTCTCGGGATATTTTCCCTCCTAATCTCAAGCAATTGAAATTATCATATACTACTTTACAATGGGAAGATATGGTTGTGCTGGCTAATTTACCCAATCGCATATTCTGCATTCGAGGGAACAAATTGGAAACTAAATGAAGATGTTGTATTTCAAAAACTAAAATATCAATGCTCGAGCAACTACTCCTGTATGGATTCCGGAAGTTGGAGGAGATTCCTCAGAGTATTGGAGAAATAATGTTACTAAAATTGATCCAAATAGAACGTTGCAGCGCTGCAGCAGTCACTAGTGCAAAGAAAATTCAACAAGAGCAAGAAAGCTGGGGAAATTATGAGCTTCAAGTTCGAATTATCTAGCTTTGATTATTAAGTATGTTAAAATTTCATCTTTGATTATTAGTGAATTTGTTTCTGTGTTCTTTCATTTTTCTCTTTACCTTCTTTTCTTATAAAAAGGCTTGTAAGAACTTTTATCTACAGTTAGAATCTTATGACTGTGGCAAGGGTCTATCGGAAACAACCTCTCTACTCCCCCGGAGTAGGGGTAAGGTCTGCGTACACACTATCCTCCCCAGACTCCACTTGTGGGATTTCACTGGGTTGTTGTTGTTAGAATCTTATGATACATTGTACTTTTAATCACTTTTGGATGCTATTTTCCCTTTTTCCCCGCCACCCGTAAGATTTGCTACAAATAAGCTTTTAACTGGCATTTGAGGAAATTCTGAGTATGATTTAATGCAGTCTCAGAGCTTCTAGCATTGTGAAACTTGGAAAATATTTTGGTGTTAACAGTGAGTAAAGTAGATGTAGTAGCATGTTAAATCTTTGATCCCAACAGCTATTTTTTTCATTCTTGATAGTGAGATGACTTCAAGCTTATAGTAGCTAGATCTTTAAAAATTGAAGTTAGACGATACAACTCTTATTAGTTTAATACTACTATGTTTGAATATTTGGGTCTGGGGAAGGGCCATATGATATAGACAGTCTACCCTAGTGGAAGCTCTATACAACAACATGCTGAACCTGTTTATCAAAGTCTTTGTACTATTCAGATTTTCCGTGAGAATAGTACAAAGGAAATTAATGATATTGAAAATCTGAGAGTTTTAGAAAAGAGGATCACAGATGTTGTCTACGAAACAGAAAGAAGAGTTGATTCAAGGCATCATTCTAGCAGACGACCGAGAAACGGCTTGAATGATGAATTGGAAAAAGAAGTTGAGGAAAGAGGTAATACAAAGCAAATGTGCAGAATTAGCAACAACTTCTTCCTCATCAAGAAAGTAAGCAAAATACTGTTGTTGGAATCGAGGATGACTTCAACACCATAACAGATAGCTTCACTGCCCAAACAAATTACTAATGCCAGTTGTCGGGATGAAGGATGAAGGCCTCACTGCCCAAACAAATTGAAAGAGCTAACTGTCATATATATCAATTGTTGGTATGGGAGGTATCTATCGGTAAGTCAACTCTTGCTAGAAAAGTTTATGACGATTCATCTATTCAACATCGATTTGATACACATGCATGGGTCACTGTCTCTAAAACCTACAATGAGAGGCAATCACTACTAGAAATTCGGAAAAAAGCCATCACAAAAAGCGATCAAAGTTGGTCGCTTACAGGTCAAAAGCGACCAAACAGGCTTGATCGATATTATGCTGGTCCCTTTACCCTAGGGACCAAAGTTGGTCGCTAATAAGGTAAAAGGACCAAATATTCCGGATAAATAATATACCGACCAACTTTGGTCGCTATATTATTTTAATAATATAAATTTAGCGACAAAAGTTGGTCTCTAATCTTAAATTACGTTTTTTATTTATTTATTATTAATAAATATAAAGCGACCAACTTTGGTCTGTAAAGAAACTATTATATTTTAAAATCTGGAAAATGGAGACCAAAGTTGGTCACTATTGTTTTAATTTTTTAAATTTTTTCTAAACTTAAGCGACCAACATTGGTCGCTAATTTTAAGAATTTAATTATTTTTTATATATAAGCGACAAGAGTTGGTCGCTATTCTCCAGAAAATATAATTTTTTTTGTAGGCTAGCGACCAAAGTTGGTCGCTTTTTGAGAAATCTGGGTTAATTAGCGACCAACCTTGGTCGCTATTGCCCAGAAAATTATTTTTTTTAAAGAGAAAAGCGACCAACTAGCGACCAAAGTTGGTCGCTTTTCTTGGTATAATTTTGGCAGAAACTGCTTATTTTGGCAGCTACACCACCTGCCAGCATACCAAAATTCCTAAACAGGCATTTGTTGCCAACAACAACAACAACAATAAACAACAACAAAACAACAACAACAACAACAACAACAACAACACAACAACAATATTAACAACAACATTAACAACAACAAAGTATAAAGTTCAATAAAACTAACACATTAAGCTAACCAAACTAAGTTAACTGTTATTACAAGCCCATTCGAAACCGATTGTATTTGTCTAGTTCAAAGTGTATAAAAGTCAAGGATTGTTTTGTACATCATTATCTTCACCGTCTGATGAACTTTCATCACCAAGACGGTATCCAGAAGGGTGTACTTGTCGAGGACGGGAAGAACGATCACGGGGAGGACGGGAGGAACGAGCACTTGGAGGACGGGAGGAATGAGAACGGGGAAGGCGAGCCTCTGGCGATGACTCACGAGACCGGGGAATCGGAAAAGAGCCAGAAGCTAGGAGAGATTTGATCTGCTCTTGCATGCTAGTGAACTGAACATCTCTAAGCTTTTCTCTTTCCTTGACCGCTTCTAGCTCGGATGTGAGCTTTGTCACAGTCTCCCGCATAGCGGAGAGGCTATCCCCATCAGGTAGCTCGGCTTGTGAGGAAGTCCCTATTATTTGCATTCCACACTTATAGCGATGGAATTTCTTAGTAGGAAGCCCGTATACCTTCCCCATTTTGGACCGCCAGTAGCCTCCGTCCACACTCTTTCAGCATCCTCGTTCGAAGGTTGGATTGGCTCGCCCGACTCATTAGGTGGCTGACTGCGTATGAATTCCTGCAATTTAGCTGTGAAACGACCCTATAAGAAAAATTACATTGAATTAGTATTTCAAAATTTATATAAAAGTAAATCAAAATACTTAATGAAAAGTGAAAACTTACATGTACAGTCGAGGCTCGGCCCTCGACCCACCTTTCTTGATCCGTCTCTTTCTTCTTCTTTGCAATATGAGTCTCCTTGAATAGCTCATCTTGGTTCATCGGACGCCCAACTTCTTTTCCTGAAAACTCAACTTTTTCGCTCTTCTCTAAGAACTTTGCGGTAAGCCATTGCCTTTGCAAATCCTCCCATAAATTCTGAAGCAACCAGTCAGGCTTCTGGTTCAACTTTCTAGCTTTGGAGAAACAATGCGACAATCACTTGCGAGCTTTGAGATGAAAGTTTGCAGCCACTTCCGCGCTATAGCGGTGTTCCCATACACACTTGCTCTGTATTTCAAAAGTTAAGTATTATATAGAAATATCATAAATATAAATAATTATACTGCTTAAAAGAACATTTATACCTGGAATTGATTGAAAATTTGCTCCTTCAGCGAGAATGGGAATTCACTCCAAGTCGCATAAGGGCCATCATAAAGCTTTCTAGTGGCTTTGGTGATTATCCTCGTAGTAATATTACTAGGGATGAACCTGCAATTTAATAAAAAAAACACATTAATATCTTAGTAAAAACAGTACAAAACAATAAACGTAAAAATAACAAATAACTCTTACCCATCACCCTAAGGGACTATGATGATCCTGCCATATTGATCATAATTCACCTTCTCGTCATCATCATCATCACCGTCTGAAGCATGTATATCAGAGGCATGTGTGGAAGGTGTAGGGGGATCAGAGCTAGTATCTCGCAGGCGAAGGCCTGAAATATATGGAGTCCCTGATGAAGATGGCTGTGATCCCTGTGACTGCAACATAGCTGGATGGCCCACAAGTGGCTGTGACATTGATAGTTGTGACCCGAGTGGCTGTGACACTGATGGCTGTGATCCATGTGGATATGACATCTCGAGAATGCTTCAGATGAGTTAGATGATTATCTAGAGAAATTGAACAGTACTGCTGCCCATATTTCAGCAAAAAATTGTGAGAAAAATATAGAAGACAACAAGGTATTAGAGCCTCTTTATGTAAAAGCACCAGGTGTTCGTAAAGAGCGTATTCTACGCCATTGGGAGAAACCCAAAAAAGAAAAACTTCTCAACTGACTAATGGGAAAATTAGTAAGTATTACGATACAAGTCTTTGCTTGTTTTACTTTTTTTTTTTTTGTAACAAGAATTAGTTGTTTGTTCATAGAGAAATCTCAAAAAGATGTTGCACCATCAATAAAAAACTTGTTTGAGGACAATGCTTACACTCCCCATCAAGCAATATCTCCTTTACCAGAAGTTAATTTGCAAGTTAGTTTTCTTTCATTCCTTTTTACATAAAACTTATGTTAAATTATTGTCATATTATTAACTCATCTTGAATTTTCTTTTTCCTGTAAGGATGTTGATTTTGATTTGGATATGAATGAATCAAATGTCTCACTTTTAGCCTTGTTACGAAGTGTTGGGAACACAACACAGGTATTTTAACAATCTGACTTTCTTGTACAGGAAGTGTGGAGAAATACTGCAACTATAGTTAGTGTGTTTAAAACTTTTCATAATTCTATTTTTATTTTTATTTTTGTAGCAATCATCTACAAGTACGTGGAAATCAGGAGCACAGTACAATTGAAGTACTATAGTGTGGCTGCCTTTGTTGATATTTGTATTGCTGCATACAGTTCGGCTCGTTACTTTTCACCAGATGTTTAGAAATTGAAACTCTTATATAGAATGATTTATATGAAGTAGTATTTTGAGACATTCGATAAGGAGAAGCTAGCGAACTAGATTTCTTTGATTTTTGGATAGAAGAATTTACATACATTTGTGGAGAATCGTTGATTGCTTTTGTTGAATAATAAATATTTTTATATTATTGAAACCCATAATTACCGTTGCTTACATAAGCTTTACTTTGCTTCTCCATAGTAGTCTTCTCTAGTAAACCTCACTACATTTTACTTGGATGCGATCATCAGCAGTGGCACGTTCTACCCAAAACACCGCCAAGATCATCACAGAAGGTATCTTCTGTAACTTTGGCATGAATTAAGTCATAGCCAATGGAAACTTCTTCGTGTTCAGGTGCAGCATGAACTATATCGAGGATTTTTGTCAACAAAGGCAGAGATAAATTTTTCATAAATGAGGATTTCTTTGGAGCTTCTGCCAATTTTTTCTTGTCCTTTGTGGTGAACAATGACATGAATCTATTTAAGGAGCATGTGCAAAATATATAATGGTTAACTATGGTTAAGTATTAATAGTTATAATTAAATAAGGTGACATGTGTCATTTTTTAATTAGTTGGGTGTAAACACCCGGTGCGGGTAAGTTTAAGTAAGTAGTTCGCGTGCCACGTGCCGCAGAACTAATATATATATTACTTGGGTTGGAATTTGCTCCATTAGAGTACTTCCTCTGTCAATTCCGCTTGGGTGAACTTTTTCAAATTGTCCGTCTCAAGCTCGAATAAAGGTGTTAGGATTGTGGCCAAGTAGTCAATGCAAAACGAACCATTTCTCATAATACAAATATTATCGAGACATGGGCTGACCCGGTTTTATAAAGCCGACCAATAGACATGGCTAGTAAGTATTCATATAGCTGACTCGACTTGTTTTGTATTGAGGACAATGAATCATACTTTCCCATTTTCTAAGGAAATATTTCCTTTTTCTTTAATTTATTCTAAAAATATCTTTACACTTGCCTTGTAGTTGATAGTAGAGATGTTTATACAAGTCACTACTCTTTCTTTCTTATATATTAATCAATGTAATATGCATAGGAGTACGTCAAGGAAGGATGGCACGAGCCAGAATTTCAAGCTTATGGATTTGAGATTCAAATCGCCTTAAGTTAATGGGTTCTAAATTAATAATTTATACATATTCAATAATTTTTTTAAAACAAATCTACGGTTCGAATCAAAGCTACTGGATTCGGTCGAACCCGCTCTCGACACTCTAGCTCTGCCCCTGCACCTTTGCTGTTTCCTTTACAAACAAATTGTGCACCAAAATATTCAGAGGTAGTTAGGTTTGAAGAGAGCCATAAAAGATGTGAAGTAACACAGAACTTCACATACACCAAGCTTTTAAATCAACTTTTTACGTTGTGTCAAATTCCATGAAACATGAAAGCAAAGATATAATGAAATACCAACTCAAGCAATTAGGTTGGAAAAGAGCCATCTGAGATATTCCAGCAACTTACATCTTATTTGTTTGACAACTAGTAAAATGATTCTTATTTGTACTTTGTGCCATTCAGCTGGTTTTACTCCAACCCTACAACAAAAGTAATGGCGGTCATGCTCGTTTTGTACGTCGTCCAACTTCAAGGGCGAGCTCTGTATCGATTTTCAGGGAAATGTCAAGTGCTTTCACAGAATGCGTTAGGGCACCACTGCAAACATCAAAATCTTCATAGTATAAGTATCATAACAAACCTTCATGTGCCTAATACATATGGACTAAACAAAAGATAGATTCGTTTTTATCAAAATAACAGGCTAATATCTGACAAAGGGTATCATTACTGGATGAAACAAACATATATTGAACTTTCTCAAGTATTGAGTCCACTCCTAGCCGAGGAAATTGTACCCCATGCTAAATCATGTGCTTAAAATTGAAGCCTTAGTTAACCAATAAATAACCGAAGAGGTCAACAACCTGATTGTCTCAAGTACTTTAGCAATCCATGTAAAGAGGTGTGAGACGTTGGAGCTGGAGGGGCTGAGAAGAGGTAGAGGTAGGCCGAAAAAGTATTGGGGAGAGGCGATTAGGCAGAATATGACATTACTTCAGCTTACCGAGGACATGACCAATGATAGGAAGGTGTGGAGGTCGAGAATCAAGGTAGACGGCTAGTAGGTAGTCGAAAGTATTAGTGTTAGTCCTGTATTCTATTGTTGTTAAATTTTTTTAGTATTACTTGTTCCTTTTGTTTCATTCTCTTACTATCGTGTTGGTTATTGCTTGGTGCTATTGCATTTCTTCTCGTCTTTTGTGAGCTGAGGGTCTATTGGAAACAGTCTCTCTACCTTCAAGGTGGGGGGTAAAGTCTGCGTACACATTACCCTCTCCAGACCCCACCTGTGGAATTATACTGGGTTTGTTGTTGTTGTAGTAATAGTATTTAAGCAATCCATGTAAGTTCTCCTGTTTATCAATTTTATCAAGAAAATTATACATGACATAGACTATCTAATGGGAGCTTTTGTCTGATGTGTGCGAGTAAACTAACCACCTTATTAGTATAAAAAAAGAGGAAAAGAAAGACGTCGCAGCGATACAAATAACACAAACTGAGAAGTCTCTTCTATTTTTATTATCTTCCAATTTCTTTAATGAAGATCTTCTGAAAAAATAGCAAGAGCGAAATACATACCTAGAAATGTAGGTAACACCAGTTTGTCCAATCTTGTGCACTGTTTCAAGGGTAACATTTCCTGAAGCCTGCCACCATTACAGCAAACAAAGCATGTCATCACAAGATATACGCTGACAAAAATAATAAACGGGAAACCAAGCAGTACCTTTTTTTATGAGTTAGGAGTTTTTATCGTAAAATCAAATCTTAAATGCTATTTCTAAGCTTCGTATATACTGACAGTTTTGTGGAGCAGTAATAAAATGAAACCAGAAGTACCTCTGTCTCAAACCTCCCATTGATCAAATCTACAGCCTCCTTAAGCATGGATACATCAATATCTCCTTTAGATAATGGAACAACCATATTGTCCAGCATTATCCTAGTCAACGAAGTCTTTGTTTGAGATGCATAGTCTAGAACCTCACGTACTTCTGCAATTGTCCTGGTTTCAACCTGTTGGATAGGAGAAAAGGTTTAAAACTCTGCCAATAATTACCAGAAATTGAGCACATTCAGAAAGGACCATACGCTCACAACTGCTAAAAATACAATAACGTAAGCTCGGGTATCACAAATCAGACAATTTGGGTTCCTACCAGCATATTCTTGATGCTGACACATTTATAAGATTTTGCCTTATAAAAAAAAGTATCTATATCATTAGTCGTCTTAACTATCCAAAGTAGGTGCAAATTACCAACTTAATGAACGACAACACCAATAAGTATTATGCAAAGACAGACCTAAAATACAGTTTCTTCCAAACCTCTTAGGTTATATAAGGGTGGATGATAACGTTGGAAAAATCCTGAAGGCAGAAACTTTCCCAGCTTTTTCAGCAATATAAAAATGTAACCTGACTAACTATTTTGTTCGCTAACTGCTTTAACATGGTCAAATAACACAATTTTCCACTCTTGTTTCAGTTATCCGAAATCATGATATATTCTGGGATACTACTCTCAACCCCTACAAGTGTATCTAGATACAAAAATGTAAAATAAAAGTCTCGAGGTGTAGGGCAAACATCTCTGAACTTGGACTAACATTTGATTTCAACAGATCAGAATTCAGTTCTTCGGTGAAAGGATATCAGAAATAGCATCAATCATAAAGTTCATATCATCAACACTATAAATAGTTTATGATTAAAATGGCTCTAGAAAGATGTTTATCTGACCAAATACAAAACTGACAAAAGAATATTTCACAACTGATGGCAGAAGCTAAGATTAAATGACTAATATATTCCGGCAGAATAGGTAATCGAACTGTCAGGTCGAAATAAACATACTATATGTGCAAACTATAACCATATCGAACAATTTAATCCAAAGGTATATGTGGCCAACCTCAACCCCCATGTGAAGTTTATTTTGTTCCAAATACTGATCCACGGAATTTAGAGCTTTGCTGACACCTCCAGCAGCAGATATGTGATTATCTTTTATCATTACCATATCAAATAAGCCCATTCTGTGATTCTTCCCCCCACCGATCAATACCTTCACTTAAAGCAAGGTAGAAAGTCAGCCAAGATAAACTATATATACATGTGATAGCCTCTCACAATGGATGATTTGGCGAGTAAATACTTACCGCCCATTTATCCACCAAACGTAATCCTGGAGCAGTTTTCCTAGTCTCCAAGATGGTAGAAGGGTGTGCAGCATCTGCCATCGCCTGCAAATATTAAAAAAATCACTCTTTTCTAAATTCTAATCATTACTACAGAGGCAAGACAATGAACTCCATGACATCTTGAAATAGCATTATCAGGTACAAAACATCTAGTTTGTCTTTTCATTAAAGAGGCGAAGATATTTGGTTTTGGTTCAATGAAATCTTTCAAATTCTTTTAACACACGACACCTTAAGCAGTGTCCATATCCTGAAAAAGGAACACATGGAATTAATTTTTGTGGACAGATAATTAATATTTATTACCTGATTTAGAGAACCAAAGGGGATCCATTGAAAGGTAAACGCAAATAGTTGTACCAAAAGTATCAAAACTCACAGCTCCTTTTGCAAATTCCAACAACAATTCTGTTTAGATTTCATACATTATTTCATTTCTGCAGTGAATATTTCTACCATTCTTATTAGTTACAAATTTTGTTGGTACTTTATAGTTTAAATTAACATTCATCAGTTAATTTGTTCTCATCTACTGAGTTTTAGAAAATGGCTTGTGTATAGTTATTGCTTTGCATGTGCATTGCATCTATCATTTGTGACGGATTAAACTGAGGAGTCTTTGTCATAGACTGATTGCAGAATTGTTTTCAATATGTGGCTCTGACACCATCTAACGTATCAGAAGTGTGGACGCACACAGTCTTATAAAGAATACACGGAATCTGTTTCCAAGACTTGCACTCTTGACTATTATACTCGAAACGTTGAAGGATATTTCATTGATTTATATATCATACAGGAATGTGTAAATTTGGATCAACACATATGTTCTTCAACATAATTCAGTAATTTCGGATATAGAACAATTGACCAGTCTCAGATCTAGAACGCTTGACTTAACTTTGGAATACTGAAACCAACTCATCAATGACATAACCATTTGCATTCATTGCTATCTTTCCAGATCTTTATTAATGACGTGCTACTTACATGAGGACAAACACACCTTAGTTAGTGTAGCTATTCCGCTCATTCTTTGCATGAAATTGAGTACAACTCTCTCAGCTATAACAATGCTGTGAGCCTTTCCTACAGATGTCAAGGCAAGATTATTATTAAGTCAAAAAATCATTAGCAATTCATCATTTCTCACATATAGTTTACCTTGTACTTTGCCAAATTTCAAGCCTTTATGAACTTTATCACCATCATTTATAGACCACTCCATCTGATAATGAGAACATGAAGAAATTAAAAAACCCTTTTTTCAGACATTTCTTCAAAGTAGAAATACCGGTTACCAGAACAACCTAATTGAAAAAATCAATACCTTTAGTGAAGGATCAACCTCTGCGAATATCATCTCAGCAAGTGCAATTCCTGCTACAATCCCGTCTTCCTTTGCTAGAAAATGAGCTTCAGATTCCATGTCAATAGGAATTGTCGCCTTACAAGTCACATCTCCTGCATTTCACACAAATAATACATTGGACAAATTAGTTATTTATAATTGAGTACTCAAATTCACAATGGTAGCTAGGTGCTGAAAATATTGCTAGTTCCAAGAAATTTACTCAAACAAACTTTTCCATCACGCAGAGAGTCAGACAGTACATGACAGTATCCTCCTGATCTTGAACTTAATTAAAAACAAACAAACAAACAAACAAAATTTTAACGCCAAAGGTTGTGGTGGGGCTATACGTACCCCTCAATCCTTAACAAGAGGTCCCAGATTCAAGCCTGGATTAGTTGGGCCTCACAGCGGGTACCAGACACCGGATGGAAAACAAGAAAGAAAGCAACTTTTGGCAGAACTATTTCCCCCCCCCCCCCACCCCCCCACCCCTTCCT